ATTTTTCAGCCCATTTCATACCCATATGGGCCCCACATACAAATGTTGGCTGGGCCTGGACCACCGGAGAAATCCTGAAGTGGGGTGATAACTGTTTTCCAAACTGTTTTACGTGTCTGCCTCGACCCGTCACTCCTCTCTCCGTCCACTCCACATCCATCGAGAGTCCAGTAGAGAAACAGTCTCTTGAAATTCCTACCTGTTATGCTCACTTCAGCGATGTCTTCTGTCCTAGAAAAGCTTCATCTCTACCACCACACCGACCGTGGGATTGCGCCATAGATCTCCTGCCAGATGAACCAGTGCCCCACGGTAAAATCTATCCACTCTCTCTTCCGGAACAGAAGGCTATGGAAGAATACATAGCAGAAGCACTCCATCAAGGCTACATCCGACCTTCCACTTCCCCTGCTGCTTCTAGTTTTTTCTTTGTAGCGAAGAAGGACGGAGGCTTACGGCCCTGCATAGATTACAGAGCACTCAATAACATCACTGTCAAGTTCAGGTACCCACTTCCTCTGGTTCCAACAGCTCTTGAGCAACTTCGTGGGGGCACCGTGTTTACTAAATTGGACCTCCGCAGCGCTTATAACCTCGTCCGGATACGTGAGGGAGACGAGTGGAAGACCGCCTTCGTGACACCTACTGGCCACTATGAGTACTTGGTCATGCCGTATGGTTTAGTAAACGCCCATTCCGTATTTCAGGATTTCATGCACGAGGTGCTCTGAGATTTCCTTCATCACTCCGTTATTGTTTACATAGATGATATTCTGATATACTCCTGGAGCCTGGCCGAACATTGCCATCACGTTGCGGAGGTCCTCCAACGTCTCCGAAAACACCAGCTCTTCCTCAAAGCTGAGAAATGTACTTTCCATCAACCATCTGTAAAGTTTCTCGGTTACTGGATTAGTAAGCATGGTATTCAGATGGACGAGGAGAAGGTAAATGCAGTCCGGGACTGGCCAACACCTACCACCATCAAGGTGTTACAACGCTTTCTGGGATTTTCTAACTTCTACCGCCGATTTATCCCCAACTACAGTACCATCACGTCACCCCTAACAAACCTGCTCCGAAAGAAACCCAAGTCTCTGTCTTGGACACCTGCAGCCACCTTAGCTTTCCAAAGCTTAAAGGACTCCTTCACACAAGCACCACTCCTTACCCATCCAGATCCTACCAAGCCTTTCATCGTAGAGGTAGATGCCTCTACTACAGGGGTGGGAGCGGTGCTCTCACAGCAGCAGGGAAACCCGGCCCGTCTTCATCCATGCGCTTACTTCTCAAAGAAACTTTCCCCAGCGGAGATGAATTACGACATTGGCAATAGAGAACTACTAGCCATCAAGCTTGCTCTGGAAGAATGGAGACACTGGTTGGAGGGGGCCAAGGAACGATTCACAGTTCTCACTGATCATAAAAATCTTCAATATCTCTGAGAGGCCAAACGTCTTAATCCCCGGCAGGTGAGATGGGCTTTGTTCTTCACTCGTTTTAACTTTGACATTTCATATCGTCCTGGTACAAAGAACCTCAAAGCAGATGCTTTATCTCGTCTCTACAATCCCGAGGAAAACACAGAGGATCCTGAACCCATCTTGCCCCAAAAGATTCTTCTGAGTCCCATTAAATGGTCTCTACATCAACAGATCACCTCCTCCAGTGTCTCTAACCCATCTCCGCCAGGATGTCCACCCAATCACATCTTTGTTCCTCGGTCACAACGCAATAACCTTATACACTCTGCACATTCGTCCGTGGGCACTGGTCATCCTGGGGCAAATCGCACCCTCTCACTGCTACAAGATCTCTTTTGGTGGCCCAACATGGCAAGGGATGTGAGAAGATTCGTCCAGGGATGCTTAGACTGTGCTATCACCAAAAACCCACGTCATCTTCCATCCGGCAAGCTCCTTCCATTGCCCGTTCCCCGATGCCCCTGGTCCCATCTAGGAGTTGATTTCGCTACTGACCTACCACCCTCAGAATCTTTGCATCTTTGTAATTGTTGATCGCTTTTCCAAGTCCTGCCGTCTCATCCCATTAAGAGTACTTCCTACTGCCCTGGAAACAGCCGAATTGCTGTTCAACCACGTGTTCCGATATTACGGAATTCCAGAGGATATTGTTTCAGACAGAGGGCCGCAGTTCATCTCCCAGGTTTGGAAAGCTTTCTTCAAACTCCTGGGGGTGGCCGTTAGCTTGTCGTCAGGTTACCATCCTCAGACCAATGGGCAAATGGAGAGAAAGATTCAGGAAATTGGACGCTTCCTGAGAACCTTCTGTCATGGTCATCAGAACTCCTGGCACCAATTCTTAGGCTGGGCCGAGTACGCACAGAACTCACTACGTCAGCCTGTTACTGGTCTCACTCCCTTCCAGTGCGTACTTGGTTACCAGCCTCCATTGTTTCCGTGGTCAGGAGAACCCTCTGATGTTCCGTCCATTGACTATTGGTTCCGAGAGAGTCTGGGACGACGCCCATCATCACATCCAGAGGGCGGTGCGCAGACAAAGGGTCCAGGCAGACACCCGAAGAGCCGAACCACCCACTTACCAGCCTGGACAGAAGGTATGGCTCTCTACAAGGGATATCAAGCTACGCCTGCCTTGCAAGAAGCTGAGTCCCAGATACATTGGTCCCTTCATCATCACACGGCAAATTAATCCAGTTTCTTACCAACTACAGTTACCCCCACACTACAGAATTCATCCTACCTTTCATGTATCACTTCTCAAGCCCTATTACTCACCTGTTCCTATTCCCTCAACAGAACCTGAACCTGTGGAAGAACCCCCCCTGCCATTGGTACTTGAGGATGGAACAGTCTACACTGTCAAGGAAATTTTGGACTCCCGACGTCGTGGCGGTCGTCTAGAGTATTTAGTGGACTGGGAAGGCTATGGACCTGAGGAACGTTCATGGACACCCAGGGAGGATATACTAGATCCGACCCTCCTCACGACTTTCCACGAGACTCACCCAGACCGCCCAGCACCCCAAGGAAGAGGTCGACCACCACGACGTCGGGGTCCACGGCCCTCAGGAGCGGGCCGTGGAGGGGGGGGGGTACTGTCAGAGATCAGCCAGGTTCCATCACCACATCATCACAGAGATCACCTTCACCTGAGAATTAATTATTCACACACCTGCACGACATCAGACACTCTTCACAGGATGTATTTAAGCACTCGTCAGCCACAGTCACTTTGTCTGGTCTCGTTTGTAGATGTTCAGACTCACTTCGTTGCTATCTTACCTGCTATCCAGCGTTCTCTCCATTATCTCCAGCGATATCCTTGATCTCCAGCGATTACTCCATTCATCACTCCAAGCTCCTGCGATCTCCGTACGATCTCCAGCGATCTCTCCGTTCCTCTCCTAAAGCATCAGAGATCCTTCTATTACCTACACCATTATTCCTCATCACCAGTAAGGACAGTCGATTGGTATATCCATCATCCGCCATCCAGCACTGTCATCCATTCCCTCTGTGACTTATCTACTGTTATACCAATAAAGCTGGTTATCATCAATTCACCTGTGTACTCTGGAGTCTGTTCCGTAACATATATGAGTCTTCAACAGAAAATAGAGTATTTTGAAAAAACAAAAATCAGGGGGAGAAATAGAACTTGACTAAGAAAAAATTGCACTAGAAATAGAGTTGCTTCAAAATAAACTTCAGAGTAAAATACACTATTTCACACAGAGTACTATTGCTGATCTTGCATAATATCTTTTAAAAAGATGACTGAATAACTGGCTTTTCTTTACAAAGAACTATTGAAAGAAAACTCTAAGCAAAGAGAGTTTTGCAAATTTGTCTTGTCTTTTATTTTAGGCTTAATTAAACTTTTTTTCTTTTCTTTTTCTGATGTTGGCAGTGTTGTGTAATATGGCACATGCAATGTCACAGGCCCTGTCAGGTGCAACCGTCAGGCTTTTCAGACCCTGAAATCTTCCCTTAGTTGGCCAAAGCTCATGTCATTGTGTGCCCTTGTCCGAGAGCTGCATTGTAACTGGTCTGGGGTTTGGGTCAGGGAATGGGGTCATGAAACACCTGTCTCCATGCAGGATCCTGTTGTAATCACCTGTATAATGGAAAAAAGCAGTTCTCAGCATAAGTGTACTGTATGTAATACCGGGAGTTTGATATTTATAATTTTCCTCACCACGTTCAAATAATGTTCATAAATGTGAATCTCTTAAAATTCTTGAGTCATGCACTGGCCATTTTGCTTTCACACTGATTTGTGATATGGAACATGTCACACACCATCTAAGAGATTTTACTCAGTCAACTGCCTTTTAAAAAAAGTGATATAATATTACTAATCTGGAATATTAAACATTGTAATAGTAATTTGGCTGCACATTTACATAAGCCCCCTTTCTGCTCACAAAATCCCTTCATTGAGGCCTTGATGGGAACATGTGTGCAATCTACAGTGTATGGCACCAATCACGTAAGTTAAGCCTAAGGGACTGTAAGTCATAATCGGCATGGTCATCCATACACACACACACACACACACACACTCATCATGATTGCATTATCTTCATTAAAAATTATAATATACCCTAAGTTGGCAAAAAAAATCTCCAATAGTGTAAAGGGAAGCCACTCGCAAATAATTTTAGGGCAATGCAAACATTTTGTGCTGTTGTTGAAGCCCGACATCGAATCGAACATTAATGTGCATTTCCAACTAAATAATGTATTTACGACACTCTCACGACGATCGTTTCACAAGAAAAAAAAATAAATCTCAGAAATTAGGCTACACTGTCACACTGCGCTAAAGGAATACTTCCTGTATCAGTCGCGATCTAATCCTGTTTACATGAAATAAGCCTGCTCACGAGCAGGTTCAAGCTGACGGACCTGTTGCTATTACAGCAAGTCCAGGATGAGCTTCGAAGAACCAAACGATCCAAGATCATGGCAAATCGCCAACAATCAAATCCAGCTAACTGAGTTAGCGACGTACGAAGAACGAGCCCCTGGGCATGATGTGAGCCTTAATAAAGGAGCAGAAATCAGACCAAAAACAAACTGAATGAGGTGTTAGGGGTTAACAGTTAAAGGACCCAGAACCAGATATGAAGAATGAAGACCCGGAGTCAGAATTATAAAAATTAAAGAAAGTTTTACTGAACATAGTTTGCAATTTCATCAGCAGAAGTCAGCTTCAAGACTCACTCAGGAGTTCGTAGGCCGCCCGCTTACAGTTACAAAGATCACAGCAGTTATACCATTTTCAAGGTCTAAGCTACGTCATTGCTTACACGTTGAATGATTCTCATTGGCTACGATATAGATAAACACAGTAATTTTCCACACATATACAGATAGACGAAACATATCTCCATCGATGAGGCACGTCATGACCTTCCAGGTCACAGATTTGGGTTGCTGGCGCCAGTGTGTCCAGAACAACAACTCATTCAATCTCCAATAATGGCAGTGGTTCCTTAACCTGCAACTAAGAAGACTAACACTAAACTTTAGTCTAACTGGAGTAAGACTTTAACAAAGAAATAGTGCCTTAAACTGTTGGCTTCAATGACCCCTTTATGTTTTAACACTCAAACATAAACCAAATCCCTATTTCCCTATTATTTTCACTGTTACTGCATTCACATAGGACACTAGCAAATAGGAGCTCCCATCAAGGCTGAAGAGAGTCTGAGCGGCTTATTATCAGTTAAGTGTACCAAAACATAATGGTAAAACATTCGCTCGTTTGGGAGAAAAACAGATAACATTTGCTTCTCAGAAAGCAAATATAATAGAAAGAATACAGTTTAATATAACAATTAAAGTTCAATAAAGCAATGCTCAATATAGCTTGACCATCTGTACAGAGAAGTATCATATGTGTTGGACATATGTGTTCACGACGCCTTTATGATCCATAAACCTTTCTCCTGAGACCAGAGAAAGAGACAAATGGCCTTGTGCACCTAAAAGAAGCTGGTGACTTGTGCATGTACATCAGCATGCATTTAAGAATATTATTTCACAAGCAAAAGCACAAAGAATACATTTATGTCAATAAATGATTAAGTAACAATAAACATACTTAATTATTGATTTTATAAAAGAAATACATAATCATTCAAAATTATATTATGAAATATATACTGAAGAGGCAAGGGATTTTGACCACCCCTTCAGAGGACAACTCCAAAATAAATGATAAAATGTTTCATCATGTAGACCACAAAATGTACAAAATGTATCAATATCACAATTAAATCTGGTCACAAGATAATGATTACTTGGGTAATATTTATAAATTAGTTTAAGGGAAATTTCTTTGATTTTGTTTGTGACTAAATATTTATGAGGAAGTTTCCAGATTTTATTCCATATCAGATTATCAGCATAACCATTCCAAAATGATATAATAGCTGGTCTGGAGACAATATCTCTTTGAAACAAAGCCCGTACACAACGATTATTGTTTTTAACATAGGAAAGAGAAAAACATATACGGCCAACTTCAGTATCAGCAGGATCCAATGAGAGAGGAGAAAGCAAAGGGCAGGTATTTTTAAGAAGCATTTTTAGACCAGAGGGAACAGCATCCATAACCACAGCAAAATCTTTAGGAGTAACTGGAATATTATATTTAGAAAGAAATTCAGAATAGGTCAACATAAGACCTTCATGATTAAACAGTTGGTTAACAAAAACGATATCATTACAAAACCAATTCATAAGAAATAAAGATTTAAATTTATACAAAATGTACTTATTATTCCAAATAAAACACCTGTTTGGGGAGAAATTGTGTTAATAGATTAAATTCCAGGAAAGAAGCATCTGTTTGTGAAAATTAGAGAGTTTTAAAGGAAGTTTGGCAATTTTGTAGTCACAAAGCGAAAGGAATGGAAGGCCACCAACTTGTGAAAAGATAAAGTGAGGTATAATATTCCAGATAGATGTTGTTTTTTTAAGGAATTGCTTAATCCAGTTAACTTTGAAGGTGTGATTAAGGGTGGTAAAATTTAAAAAGTTCAGGCCTCCATTCTCAATTGAGTTCATAAGCACAGATTTCTTTATATAATGGGTTTTATTTTTCCATAAGAAGTTAAACAGTATTTTATCAATTATTTTACAAGTATTATCATTAACTGCTAAGGAGAGCACTGCATATATGTAAGTCTCGAGATGCCCTCTGCCTTTGTGATAAGTACTCTCCCCCTCAAGGAGAGGTTTCTCAGTAACCATTGATTTAATTTTTCTTTGTTTTGTCAATGACTGGTGAAAAGTTAAGCCTACATCGTTCCTCTTCATTCTTCACAATCTTAATACCTAAATAAGTGATTTCGTCTTTAATGGGAATATTACAAATTGACAGAAGATTGCTGTTTTTAAGAGACATTAATTCACATTCATTTATGTTCAGATAAAGCCCTGAAGCTTTAGAGAATGTATGGACAATTTTAAGGGCTAAAGGTATTTCTCCTGCATCTTTTAAAAAAAGAGTGGTGTCGTCTGCCAATTGACTAATCATAAATTCACTGCCAGCAGCAGTGATACCTCTTAAAGGGCTCTGTTTAATATGATCTGCAAGAAGTTGTGTATAAGTAAAAATAAGTATGGGGAAATAGGGCATCCCTGTCTCATACCACGACTGAGATTGAATCTGGTTGAGGTGCCATTACGCAGCTTGATTGAGCAATTAGCATTAGAATATAAAGTTTTAATGGATTTAATAAAGAAATCACCAAAATCAAAAAAAATATATATTTTTTTAATATAAGAAATGATGTTCAATAGTGTTGAAGGCCTTATGAAAATCTAAGAAGAGAATGAAACTCTCATCTGGGTATAGATGTGGGTAATCAACAAGGTCTAATACCAAGCAAATATTATTTGAAATATGTCTATTACGCATAAAACCTGACTGTGTGTCATCAATAATAGAATCCAAAGTTATCTTAATTCTAGAAGCTAATATAGAGGCTAAAATTTTATAATCATTATTAAGCAGGGATATTGGTCGCCAATTGTCTAAAATTAAAGTATCTTTTTTTGGTTTTGGTATTAAGATAATTAAGCCTTGTGTCAGGATAGGTGGGAGTTTGCCATTATCAATACATTGTAAGAAAAGATTTAAAAGAAAAGGAGCAAGTTCTTCTGACAAGGCTTTATAGAATTCAGATGTCAAACCATCTACACCAGGGGATTTATTTAACTTGAGCTCTGTAATAGCTTGAAGGACTTCCTTTATATGTATAGAACTATCACAATGTTCTTTTTGATCTTCATTTATAGTTTTCGAATTAGTAAGACTATCTATAAAAACAGAGGAATTATTTTCATTAAACCTTGACTTGTAAAGAGTGCTAAAAAAGTTTGATTATAGTAATCCGCAATGTCCTTTGAGTTATGTGTTATCATACCATTAATATTCAAGTGCATAATTGTTTTTGTTTTTGCATGGAATTTTTCTAATTGAAAGAAATATGCTGAATTCGGCCCCCCCCCTTTTCCAACCATCTCTGTCTAGATCTAATGAAGGCCCCCTCTGCCCTCCTTTTATAAATATCGTCTAATTGGCTTTGAAGTGTGAATAACTAGAGATATTTATTATCCGATAAATTTGGAGATTTATGAGTAAAAGCCGTGATTTTAGAAATGATCGTCTCCTCTTCAAGTTTTTTAGCTTTAGATAATACACTGCCAAAATTTCTAAGAAATTTGCAAGCTTCAAATTTAAATAACTCCCAATTAGAGCAATAGTTATTACTAATCTTAGCTATATTCCAATATTGTGCAATCAAACTGCGAATGGTCGTCTTTACAAAATCACGTTCCAATAAAGATTTATTAAGTTTCCAATAAGAGTTATGGTAGTTGTTGGAGGAAGAAAAGGAATGTAAAGAAATGTTGATAGACACTGCCTTGATCTGTTAGATGATCTGATGATCTGTTAGTGGCGTGGGAAGAATATTAACAGAGATATCTTCTTTATGTAAATTGCATGGAGTTAACCAGTAGTCTATACGAGACATAACTGTACGTGCCTTATTATTCCATGTGAAAGAACTGATACCAGGGAATTTCTCTCTCCAAATGTCTACCACTCCAAATTTCTGCATGAAGGCCTTCAGAGTGGAGTTTTGATAATTTATACTACGAGGTGGCCATCTGTCATGAATCGCTCCTCTTTGGCTCTCTCCGCTCATCATAGAGCTCCTTTTTTCCGAGTATTGAACTGCATTTGCCATAAGCCCCGTACCTAGGTCTAATCACCGGCACAGGTGTTCCTTATTTACCTTCCTATAGACCATTTCAAAAGATGTAAACAACACTGGTCCAGAAGCACTTCCTGTTTCAGTTTTTTTAACACTACATAAAAGCTGGGATAAAATACAACCAACAGAACATATAAAACTGAATCAAAAAGTTAAACAAACATCTTTAAGATGTTTTCTTTACATGTGAAATAAAGAAAACAGTTACAAACTGAAACAGGAAGTGTTTCTGGACCAGTGTTGTTTACATCTTTTGAAATGGTCTATATAAACAGCCCGCTGACTCTCAATCAGTGCGAAGTCTTGTTTTGCCCCGGCGACATTTCTGAGCGTTTTCCCTTGTGTTTATCTGGATTCTCTGTTTATCGACCCTCGACTGTCCTTGGACTTTGATTCTCCGTTTGCTGCCTGCCCTGACCATTGCCTGTGTTTCTGGATTACGACCATTGCTACCTGCCCTGACCCTCGCCTGTCTCTTCTGGATTTTGATCATTGCTGCCTGCCCTGATCCCTGCCTGATATCGGTTATTCTTGTGGATTGTCTGTTATACATTGATGCTGATCGTTGACCCTTGCCTGTATTACTATTCTTAATAAATCTACACTGCATATGGATCCGCACGCCTCCGCCTCTCCATTACAGAAGACTTCGCCGACACAGGATCCAGCAGCCATGCATCATCTAGCATCAGAGCTATCTACTCAGGCTAATATTCTGGCGTCTCACCAGCAACAGCTGGTCAAACTCACGACACTTACTGAGCAGTTAGTCAAATCCGTTCAGTTTCTTACGCCACCTGCCGGTGCTGCGGCGATTCCCTCAACAGAGCCCGATCCTTCGCCTCCTCTCGTGAGTAATTCAGCCAACCATCCTCGCCTATCTCTCCCTGAGAAGTATGATGGCAGTCCCGTCAAGTGTAAAGGTTTCTTGCTACAATGTTCCATCTTTATTAATCAACAACCCCAATTCTACCAAACAGATGAAAGTAAAGTGTCTCTCATCTGCTCATTACTAACTGGCAGAGCTTTGGAGTGGGCAACCGCACTGTGGGAGGGAGGTAATTTATCATTCCCGTCCTATCACAACTTTATGCTACAATTCAAGGAGGTGTTTGAGCATCCCGCCGGAGGAAAGGAACCAGGCGAGCTGCTGCTTGCGTTACGTCAGGGCGATTCTTCAGCAGCTGATTACGCTCTGTCCTTCCGGACTCTCGCTGCACAGACAGGCTGGGGCGATGATCCACTCAAACTGCTGTACCGTAAGGGTCTGAATACAGAGCTTCAGGGAGAACTGGCTTGTCGGGATGAGGGAAAATCACTACATCAACTCATCGACTTATCAATTCGGCTGGATAATCTTATACGAGCTCGGAGAGTTCCCCAGGGTCACAGAGGCAATCCAGCCCCAGTTGCTGTTCAGGAGAGCGAACCCATGCAGATCGGCTACACCCATCTAACTCAGGAAGAGAGAGAGAGAAGAGTTCGCAACTGACTGTGTCTATACTGCGGGGAATCTGGCCACATGAGGGCGACATGTTCCAAACGACCCAGATCACGAGAGCCCAAAGCGGTGAGTTGCAATTCCAATTCCTCTAATGTGTTTGAATTGGATGTTACGCTGTACTTTGGAGGAGAGAGGATTAATACTACAGCACTAGTAGATTCTGGGGCGGCAGGAAATTTTATTGATCTATCTTTCGCCAAGACTTACCATATCTCTCTTCTCCCATGTTCACCTCCGCGGGCCGTAGCAGCGTTAGATGGACGTCCGTTGGGGAACGGCGAGATACAATACATCTCGCAAGAAGTAACATTAGAGACCAGCACCCTTCATTCTGAGATCATCCAACTGTTTACCATTGACTCACCACGACACCCAATCATTCTAGGATTACCCTGGTTGGAGAAACACAACCCTGTCATCTCATGGTCTGAAAAACAGATAGTTCAGTGGTCTAATGCCTGTCACAGGGATTGTCTCCGCTCCATCACCAAGGTGTCC